ACTGGAATGATTATATTGTTATTTTGACAAATAAAATATGCAGAATTTTAAAATACTGTGCACAGAATGTTCAATATTTTGGTGAAGAATTCACCCAGGAGTAATAAACCGAAGGAGCAAATTCTGCTTCCATGTAACCCAGTGTAAATATGGAGTAAATGCACTGGAATTATTGGAGTTACTACATATTCAACTGGGGAAAGAATTGTGAGCGTCTCTGAGCAGCAGGCAAAGTTACTTTTAGGGCAATAACTAACAATACAGGGAGTTAAGAAAACAAAGTTGTTAAAAGTAGTTTCCTTTCCTGGCTTCTTATGGCTATCATCATTGATGTTTGTCATAAATGTGCCAATATTTCAACTTAAATAGACAGATTTGCATTTACACTCAGGACTCCTTTAAACCAATCTGGCAGCAAATTACACACACACACACACACACCTAACTAAGAGGCACCTTTACATTCTCTGAGCCTTACTGTAAATAAGAACCGGGACCAAAATATCACCCCTCAATAGGAAAAAAAGTATCTTTTACTCGTCTATGGAAAAAAAAATTTAATAGACTTCTTTACCATTCTTTAAAATAAGAAAAAGGGAGAGCACTTTGTTTTAATGGCCATAATGCTTTGCTTGATCTCCGAAGTCATTCTGATGTTCTCAGAGCTCTGCACCTGGCATTTCTGAGCACGAAGCATTTTGTTCCTAAGTTTGGCACTGAAGTTTGTGCCACATATAATATGCTCATGTAAATCAGACTTCAGATTTATTTCACGTCTTTTGATGTCTAACCAGCTCGAGAGGCTTCAAAGCGAGACACTGGTAAGCAGAGATACCAATCGATTACTCAGTGGATTTAGATTTTTTTCAGCTCCTTCCAGAGATGCTGAACTTTTCAGAGCTGCAACTGGTTAACTGCAAGGTTTGCATGGTGGCTCACTGGTGTGGTTTATTCAACAGACTGCATGGGTTATGCTGAACTGTTTCAACTTACTCTTGGGCTCAATTGCTGTTCCCAGTTAGAAGCTCAAAACACAAACTATGGTGAGAAAGAACATGGTCTTTTCACATGTACTACTGTACCAAATGTCACTGTCCATTTTTTAAACACTTATCTGTACCATATTACATTAACTATAAGTGGCCACAGTTTATTACTCTTCTTCAAATGAGTTATTGCTTTTGAACAGAAACTCTTAGTAGCTAAAGGCAACAAAAACAACAATAGCACCTTCAAATGATGCCAATGCATTTTTCCAATACCGACAGTCCTGCTGAGCAAATATACAACTTAATAATTAAAGTTGGTTTCAAAACTATCACAAGCCAACCCTGACAGGTTATTTGTTTAAACGGTTATAAATCTACCTGTAATGCAGTGGAAATGAACTCCAAGGATTGTTTAGCCACAAGGGGACTAATTAAAGAGTAAGCTTTTAGAAGGATATCTCCAGAGGTACCTACATGGATTTAAGAGCCCAAGCCCCACTGAAAGTCCATAGGATTTGTGCTCCTAAATCTCTTAGATGCTTTTTAAAAATCTTCCCCCCCTTAATGTTTTTTTTTTTTTTAAGAGAAGTGTTAAAATGAAATGAGGTATTACATTTGTACATGATACAATTACTGTTTCCAACATTCAATGCTATTTTAAAGAAGAAATCAAATATAGATTAAACACCAGTTGATAATTAACTAGTTCTTTAGGACCGAGCTTTCATTATTGTTTATTTGTATTATGGCAGTAGCACCTATCATAGAAATCATAAAAGAAAAAAAATAGGTGGCTTGGTTTTGTTAATAATTTAGATAAGTAAATATATATAATTTTTGTTAGACACCACATAACTTTTAGAGCAAAACATTTTCTGTATCTAAGTTTCTCAGCTTCTTTGGCTGCTTTTTCATATTTTACAGGGACAACAAGAAAAATGATGTATTATTAAATACAAAAATCATTGCTAAACTCCACTTTATAAATTCTAAATTAACCAAAGAATTAGCCGAACTGACAAATCAGATTTTGCGTAAATGGTTAAAAGATCAACAACCCACAGATCTGTAGCAGTAGATTTATGTGTGTGATTACTTCACCAATAAAATTTAAACTGAACTCAAAACACACAAAAATCCGTTCCATATGAATGACACTCCTGGGCATTAGCATGTCTGTAAAAACAGACAAGTAAATTCAATTAAACTGAGTTATTAATACAATTATGTGGACAAGTCACTGTCTTGTTTAAAAAGAAACACGGGGATTCTGAAATTATGCTCAGGAGATTAGAAACCATCGTAATCACATTCAGCTGAATTCAGAACTCTTCACAATACAACTGCACACCAACGAACAGGTGTCCACGAGGAGTTATTTTGTTTTTGAAAATAAAGGGCCAAATTCTGCACTCAGTAAGACCAGGGTAATTCAGAATAACTCATATAAAACAGGTAGTTTGACTATAGCCAAAAGTGCATAATGATAACAAACCTAAAACAAAATAATTCTACTTCAGAACAAATTGAATGGTCTCCCCAAAAAAGTCAATGACCATTTTCTTTCCGGGTAGATATACAGTATATCTACATAACCAGAAGTATTATATATTCAACAATGTATACATCTGTTCAGATACCTAAAAGCCCTAATGACAGAAGCATCAAGGTTCTCTTTCTCCCCCTCCTCCCTAGTCTTCATTTCAGAAAGGTAAGGTAACAGTTAAGGATATTTATTTATGTAAGTACGCACACGCTTTAGGTTCTTCTGCATTCTGATAGCCAAATGAAATTAATAAATTGCCAGAGATGACCCCAATTTTCCCCCTAGTTTTCCTGTACTTTTAATCATTTCAGATTTAAGATAGTTACAAAATAAGCTGCAAAGAAATTATTGGAATTTGAAAAATCATTTTTTTATTTTTACTTTTAAGTACTATTTCAGTAAAAACTCAGACACATTATCTGTCACCTATTCTCTCTTCCACTGTAAATTTAGTTGATATGCCAATAATACATCTTCTAGATTGATTTGAGAGAGAGTAGTAGAATTCAGATTTCAAGTTAACACGACCTAACTTTCAAGTTGTACTTGACATCAACATATAAGACAGCTACTCTAGAACTCTAGTAAAGCAATGTATCCGCCCCCCACCAATACATAAAAGCGATGTTTATATCCTGAAACTTTGTTTCCAATTAAAAACATCTAGTGGTTGAGCGTTACACTTTAACAGCTTCAGCCAAAATTTCCTAATCTAAATACTTAAACTCTGGCATGTAGATCCATGTATGCACACACCAGTAAGTGGACTGATTTTCAGAAATGGTGAGGTGAGCTGTAAGCATTCAGCATTTTTGAAAATCAGGCCATTCGTTAAGGTGCCCAAATAGGGATTCAGGGTCCTAAGTTTAGCACCCAAGTTAGAAAAGTTGGACTTCATCTGCACCAGGTCATAGTCTTTTAAAAAAATCCCTCTTGCCTCCTTTTTCTGTCCAGTATTAAAACTATAGCTACAAAAACATGAAGAGGGAGCAATTCAGATTGAGAAGAATTTTACTTCTTATCCAAGCACACTGTAAAACAGAGAACTAACTACACAGCAACTTTTCCTTTGTCTCCATCCCTCTCTTCAATTTTCAATCTGGGAGAAACATGAGATCCGTATAGTAACTTCACACTGCAGCGAAAAAGCACAAGAGACCATTTTAAAAGTGTATGGTAGGAAGAGGCCTGTGTCATTAAACTGGAAGAAAAAGGGGGTTTTGTTGTTGGATTTTTTAAAAAAAATCCAGCATACCAAACTAACAGTTAAAAAAAAAAATTAAATGAGTTCAAGACCATATGGCCTAGTCAGATTATTGCTATACCTTCCATATAGTGCAAAGTCTTTAATAACTCAACTATCCTGTGCAAACCGTATTCTACTCTGCCTTGATAGTGCTGTGTCATTTTTTACAATAGTCACTTATCTTCAGCACCTTCACACTCCTATGTATAGGAAATACCAGCGGACCAGCTCTTGAACACTCTTTGTAGGAACTCAGAAGAGTTTTTAAATCAGCACAAAGGGAGCACAGCGTCTGTCTTTTTCACAAGTCGCTCCGGTAACAATGCAGTAAGAAAAAGTAATAAGCACATCAACTAAAAGGAATATTGTTAAATAAGGGCTTTTTCCAGGCCTTAAGCGACTGTACGATCAGCAGCTGCAATGTTGCAGATTCCTAAAGTAAAATACCCACCAACTATAATTGATTGGACCAACTTCTGTGTGTGAGAGTCACAAGCTTTTGAACCACACAGAGCTCTGTCTCTATCACCCACAGAAGTTGGTCCAATAAAAGATATTACCTCACACACCTTGTCTCTGTAAATCCTGGGACCGACAGCCTTGCTACAACGACTAGATTGGAAAAAGTGGCCCCACTCAATGGCTGACCGCAAACTCTAAGATAATTATTATTCATCACTGGCACAAAACAGCACAGAGCAGGAAACTAAGACACTGATCCTGCCCTGAGGCATGCGCTTAACCTCAAGCCTGGACCTCAATGGACTCACAACAAATAAAGCACCTGCATAACCGTGTACAGGTTGAGAGCCTAAAAAGGCTGGGGGGTGGTTGGGAACGAACTGGGACACTTGAAGGGCTCGATCCTGCGATTGGCTGAGGACCTACTGCCAGGCCCCCACACCCTCCACTCCTACTGGGCTCTCCAGAGGGGCTCCGCATTTTTGCGGAATCGGGCCCGACCCTGCTCCCGCTGAAGTCCATGGCAAGCCTCCCACGGGCTACGATTTTGCAAGACCGTACCCTGATACGAAAAGCGCACAGGCAAATCCGTCACAGGCAAAGGAGCAGGGAGCCTTAGGCACCGCAGAGAGAGGGGGGGAGAAACAGGATTTGACCCTCCTTCCCTCTCCCCCCAAAACAATAAAGGAACCAGGAAAGAGGCGAGGCCAGCTCCCACCCCCCGACCCCCCACCCCCGGGGAGATCCGTGGACTTACACATAGACGGGCCAGGTGGGGAGGTCCCTGGGGAGCTCAGTCAGCCCCCGGTGGCTGCAGTCCAGCAGCTCCCCGCTGCAGGCGCAGCTGGAGGCGCAGCGCGGCTCGGACCCGGATCCGGACCCGGGGCCCACCAGGGCCATCAGGAGGAAAGTCAGACAAGGAGCGGACCGCAGCAGCGGGGCCCCCGCGCCCGGCCGCGCCATTTTGTTACCCGGCCCCCGGGGTCCGAAGCGGAGAGAGCGGCACGAAGCCAGGCGGCGGCGGCGGCGGCCAGTCCCAGGCAGCGCTCAGCGGAGCGTGTCCAGCGACCGGTCCGGGACCGGCGGCGGCGGCGGCGGGCCCCTGCGCTAGGCTGCCCGCGCCACCAGTTGCACCATGGCAGACTCGCTTCTCCACGTCCTGCCCGCGGGGGGTCGCCGGGGCCGGGGGGCAGCTCGGCGGGGCTCGCTGCTACGGCTGCGTCGGAAGGGAGGCGGCTGGGCACCGGTGCATCTCCTCCCCCTCCCCCCCTCGCACCCCCCAGCGTGGGGTCCCGGCAACACACCGGGCGCCCCCGGGACGGCTCCTGTCAGCGCCCTACTGCCTCCCGGGGCGTTTGCATGGCAGAGTCCGGGTCCGCTCCGGAGGCCCGGGCGGGGAAATCAAGGCACCGACGCTCTCCCGGCTAAAGAGCCGCCGGCCACAGAACCGGCGCCCCCGGGTCCGCCAAAGCCCAGCTCAGCCCCCGCGGCCGAGCCACGTCCCGCTCCTCAGTCCCGCAGCCGCTCCGCCGCCGAGGGCTGCATCGCCGCCTGCCCTGCCCGCGTGGGCCGACGCCGCGCTCTCCTCCGCCGCGGCGGCAGCAGCAGCAGCTTCCCCTGCTCGCGGCCCCGGGCCCCCTTCCTGCCGGCCCCGGGCTGGGGAACGAGCCCCGCCACCCACCGCGGGCGCCGCCAGCCGCCCGGATCCCCGCGGGCCGCTGCCGCCCAAAGCCCCCCGCCGCCGCGAGCGCTTCCCCGGCCCCCGAGCGCCGCTCTCGCCTCAAACCCACGTTGGGGCCATCGCCACATTCCCCCGCCGCCGCCACCTCCCCCGCTTTCGCTCCGCTCCCATTGGCCGCCCGGCGTTCTAGAACGTGCCCGCGCGCCGCCGGATTGGACAGCCGGCCCTTGGTTTGGACACACAACGTTCCATTGATGTTGGCAGCCCGTCAATCAGAGGCGAGAGGTCCCGCCTCCCTTTCCCACCCAAGGTGTGAAAGCTGGACGGGAGACTCCCTCCGCTAGCCCCGCTTCTTAAAGGGGAAGCTGAGAGAAGGGGTGAGCCGGATTCTTTCTTTCTTTCAGGGCACCTTTCTCACTAGCTCAATACTTTAGTATTATAAAGTGAAATAGAGCCAGGCCCCCAACCAACTATGGTTTTGCAAAGCCCAAACTCAACCAATTCGGTTTGTCAAAAACCAACATAGGGAATCCTGAGTTCATCTCCCATATAATATAATATAATCAATATAAATAATTATAATTAATTATACTCTATATTTTGCACATATATAGCACTTTTTTAGCATAGGTATCAAAAGTGCCTTAGTAAGTATTATAATCCTGATTCTACACAGAAGAGCAGAGGAAAGAATTATTTTCTTTCTAAACCAAAGCTGAACTTTAAAGGCAATAATTGGAGGAGGGCAGCTTTAACATTTTTATTTTTATTTCTTTGCTACGATATGCATGCCTACGATGTGCATGTGGGTAATAATAATAATTACTAACAAGAAGTGCTTGGTAGCCCTAGTCACATACTAGAACCCCATTGCACAAGGGGCTATAAAAACATAGACTAAGAAACATAGTCCCTGCCCTAAGAGTTTACAATCTGGGTATAATACAAGAGACAACAGATGGATACAGACAGAAAGGGGAGTCCATGCCTAATGGATGATATGGTCCAAAGAGCCTGCATTCCAAAATTAGTCAAATCATGACCCATTAGATAGTTTTTACAAAAATGTTGCAAAAAACTTGATAAAAGCAGCAATGCACTTCCACACATGCATTTAGGGCCTGACCAAAGCTCATTGAAGTCAACAGAAACACTCCAATTGACTTTAATTGGCTTTGGATCAGGCCCATACACTGTTTAGTTGGAAGGCAGTACTCGGCCTTCTCAACACACCAGGCTATGAGGGTACACTGTATAACCACTCACATGGGCCCTGGTCCTGCAGCTAGATCTGTGTGAAGGGATGGATTTATCTTTAGGGAGAGGAGCAACTAGTACGGGCCTGATCCTGCTTCCACTGACTCCAAAAAAATTTCCACGGCTCAGTCCTGCAGTCAACTCTGCATGGGCAACCCCTTGAACTTGTGCTGAGTCAATTGCAGCATTGCAGGAACAGAGCCCTATTGACTTAAGGGGATTGGGCACTATACCTACATAAAGTTTAAATGTTCTGTTTATCTTCTAAGAGACACCTGCTTTTTTTTTTTTTTTTTTTTTTGACATAAAATAGTGGCACAATTCTTGAGTCAGATTTGTTCATAAAGCTTGCTATGGACACATAAAAATGCTGCCACGTGAAATATTGCTGTTCTAGCTTCATCTTATTTGGAGGAAACAGCAGGTCTGCGGAAAAAGAACTTGTGTGTGATGGCAAATCTGCTAACAGCCTTATTCAACAAAATATCAGAACTCTGTGGCTTCGGCCACAAAGTCACCACAGGCTTCTGTGGTTTGCTTGCCATGAAGTGCAAAGCCTATGAGTCAAGATCTGAAAATCTCTCTTCACTGTGTCAGTAGAAAGGGGATTCAGTGTTTTGGCAATGCCCCCAGTCTAGTAAGGAGCATGAAGTCATGTCTACTCTCCATACCCATTTATGGAAATTTGCCCAAACTGACAACATCTTGCTGATTGGTCTGAGTGTACTTGGAGAGAACAGTGATGTCGACACTCAGGGGAGGATTATGTGAGGCTCAATGACAACATGCTAACAGCTGATAGACTCTAAAGGAAAACATACACTTTTCTCACTTAGACATGTCTGTGCTTTGCTAACAGAGGCTTGGATGGCTTATAGGTGCAATGTCAAGCAATTCCATTCTATGTCAAGACATTGGCTACCAATCAAACAATCTCTTTTTGGTACTAAAAAAGAAAAGGAGTATTTGTGGCACCTTAGAGACTAACCAGTTTGGTTCTGTTATTTTACCTGTGGCCCACACACAGTCCCAGATGCTTCCTGGCCAAAACTAACAGCAAATTCTCTGGTTTTGCCCTTGTGAAAAGGCACCACACTGTATTCCTGCCCTGTGAGAATTAGGAACCTTCGGCTGCTAACCATAGGGGATTCTTTTGTTTGTGGCTATGGCTCCATCACCTTTGTCTGCCCTAGTTTTGCAGCCTACACAGACAGTTTCTCCAAGTGTCCCATGGAACTGAAATAATGAGGCAGTGCAGTTGTCACATTTCTGCTCAATAGGTTAGAAGATCCAGGTAGAGAGCTTTAAACCATCATCCCCTAGGAATGGTTAGCTATCGTGGGCTTTCTTTGCCTTTTTACTTGTAGTCAAGTCTACACAGAAATTCACTTTTTTTGCAGACTTGTTCATTTGTTAGTCTAGTTGCTGCATGTTCAGACATGAAGGGTCTGATTTTCACAAGTGCTCAGCAACTGCAACTCTCCCTGGCTCTAGCTGCAGCTCTGAGTACTCAGCACTTCTGAAAATCAGGCCCTCAGAAAACGTTCACACTGATTTGAGTGGGAGCAAGAAGAAGGACTTTGCATAATAATAATAAAAATAAAATGGTGGTTATTTTTCTTAATTTTCAAAATAAATTTTCCATTTTTCATGTTTACTCTTCAGACATTAGAGGGGGAAACATGAGCACGCCCTTCCATTAACACTGGTGTTCACATGTCATCATGAAAATGGACCTAATATTACCTGCAAAGTTTAGACCCTGTGACAGCTGATATAGATCTTAGGGACTCTCAGTTTTCTTGGCATCTTACGCTGCACCATTAAAGTCAACAAACACTTTGTCATTGACTTCAGTGGGTGCAGGATCATTCTTCTTGTTTATGCACATTCATCTACATGGAAGAGGGACACTTGGACCCAAAGGAATCTTTTCAGAGCTCAAAGGAAGAGGTCAGGGCATCTGTAGCCAGTTTGCTGCAGTACATATAAGGGGCAGTGGTGGTTAATGAGATTGGTGCTGCTGTATGGAGGAAAACTTGTTCTCTGCTCCTTGAAGGGGCGCTGCTAACTGTATGTAGTTTGGCTGGGTCATTTAACATTTTGTGTTATGCTGCAGAAGCAACCTTAGGAGCAGAGTACTTTAAGGAAGTTTCTGCACTGACTTTTAAAATAAAATACCAAGCATTTAGCCCAAAAGAGGTTTTATTTTCCCTTTCAGGTACCAAGCAAGTGTCTCTTGCCCTTTGTGAAAAGAACTGAGGGGCTGGGATCTGGCCTAGGTCCACTTACCTGGTCAAGTAGGTCTAGAAATTATCACAGGTAGTCTTCTGCTGTAATTTTTCTATTGTGTATTTGAGAAATGCCATGGTCCCTGCTATCGGACATAACAGAGTTTGCCACTTGTATTAGAAATACAAATTAATGACAAACTTAAATCTTTTTTTATTGTATTCTAGCAATATGGAATATGCTGTTTTAAAAAAGGGGGGGGGGTATCACCTATTTGGCTTTATGGTGAAAATAGCTACAGCAGGATGGAATTAGTGACACAAATAGTGTCAATTTTTATTTGTATCACAGTAGCCCCAAGACCTTTCCAGTGAGATCAGAGCCCTGTTATGCTTGGATACAGACATATTGTAAAAGATGGTCCCTCCCTCAAATTTCTTAGAGACAAAGGGTGGGGGAAAGGAAGCATTATAATCTATATTTCTCAGGAGAACAACTGAGGTACTGACATTAAAGGCTAGTTGTCTATTTTTTTTTTTCCCTCAGAGATTCTGAGCACTGCAATTTCCATTAACTCTTGAACACAAGGCCTCAAGATACTTCCCTAGGGCCCTACAGATCTTGGGAACTGAACACAGATCTCCTGAGTCCCAACCCAATGCCTTCGCCATTAGACCACTCTTCTTCTCCATCATGGGACTATAGTGATGCTAGTCAATGCTATACATTGCTGGCGTGTGGGAAAGTATTTGAGGGTGTTCTCTAGTATTTGGAACATGAGGCCAGCCAGTAAGTCATTCTTCCTCTTCTCCTGCATTTTTGTTTCTCCTGATTTCTTTCAAATTTCTCCTTAAGGTAGCCTAATTCCACCTCCTGCATTTCTCCACTTGTACAGGTGCATTTTATTTGATGACATGCACTGGGCCACAGAGAGAAATGGACAGAAATCTGTATTTCAGATAGCTTTCTCTTCCGGGAGTGATGCCTATTATTCTACCATACCACTGTTACACCACTAATAAACCATCCCCTCTGTTGTTGGTATGTATCAAATCTACACCAGTGACCTTAGTTCTTGGAGTGGCTCCCCAAACAAAGGTCTGAATACACTTCAAAAGTATTACAATGGTCTAAGCTTGTGACTGACAGCAGCTTCTTCTTCTCCTCCAAACTCCAGCTCACTGCAACAATAAGCTGTCTGCCCAGTCCGTTTCTTGGCAGGGGGGGCACATGCACAAAAATGTACAATTAATGGCCCTAAATCCCAATCCAGAATGCTCTATGGAAGAGCTTCTCTTCAGATTCTGGTGGGGCGGTAGACTACAGGTGGAAATTCTTTCCCTCCTGCTGGCTGTATGCAGTAACCACATTTGTGTCCAGTATTCTGTAATCCTATGATCTTTCTGACCGCCCCTTTGGAGTCTATGCAGTTTCAAAGACTTAAATTTATGTACACCTGAAAACAGAAAGATACAGACCCTGATCTCATCTGAGAGAAAC